GACGGCGAGAGGGCACAGGCCGGGCTGAGGGCCCCCCCCCTCCCCCCCAGTGCACAAATTTTTGTGCACCGGACCGGGCCTCACTTATATAACAAACTGACATTAGGAATGTATACAGAAGGAATCAGTTATTCTGAGGTTCTCTTTAAAGAGTTTTTCTTCTGCCTCAGGAGTTTTTATTGTGTAATGAATTAATTTCTGATAAGATACTATCTACTTGATTGCACATCATTTTATTAACCATGATCACTTTCCAATCATCTATCTAATCTAATAAAAGAGAAACATGCAAATTGACTGCACCTCCGCTTCGCCCCAAGCCATGACCACCAGCCAATCAGAGCAAATATATGCAAATTAACCCAAACAAGATGGCGGCTGGCAGCCATGGAGCTGGAGCAAGCAGGAGGCGTGGTTGCCCCGGTGATGGAGGAAGCCAAGCTTCCCGCCTGCCCTGGCCGGCTGTGGCCTCTGTTCAAGGCAACAAAGTTTCAATTATAGAAGATAAATAAATCCCAGATACCTGTGTCCAGCCAGCCTCCACTGGGAGCTTGGGTAGCTGGGGGCTCTGGCCAGCCTGCACACAGCCATCAGCCTCTCACCCAGGATGACCACACCCTCATTGGGTGAGGGTCCTCGCTGGGGGCTTGGCCAGCCTGCAAACAGCCACCAGCCACTCACCCAGTCTGGCCAGGCACCTCAGGGGGGACCCCTACCCTGAAGGGGCTGTGGCCAGCCTGCAAACAGCCATCAGCCCCTCACCCACCCTGATCCGGGACACCCTTCAGGGCAAACCAGCCGGCCCCCATCCGTGCACCAGGCCTCTATCCTATATAATATAAGGGTAATATGCAAATTGACCCTAACAGCAGAACGACTGGGAATGACACACATTGACCATCAGGCGGCAGATGTTCAATGTAGGAGCTTCCCCCTGGTGGTCAGTGCACTCCCACAGCAGGAGCTCTGCTCAGACACAAGCCAGGCTGATGGCTGCCAGTACAGCGGTGGTGGTGGGAGCCTCTCCCGCCTCCTCAGCAGCGCTAAGGATGTCCAACTGCAGCTTAGGCCTGCTCCCCGCTGGCAAGTGGACATCCCCCGAGGGCTCCCGGGCTGCCAGAAGGATTTCTGTCTGCCAGCTTAGGACCTATCCCCCGGGGAACGGGCCTAAGCCAGCAGGTAGTCATCCCCCGAGGGGTCCCAGACTGCGAGAGGACACAGGCCAGGCTGAGGGACCCCCCGAGTGCACAAATTTTTGTGCACCAGGCCTCTAGTATATATATAAAAGCCCAGCGACCAGAATGGCGGAATGACCGGAACAACTGGTGGCTATGATGTGCACTGTGGCAGCCAACCAGCCTGATCCGGGCCCCGATCGGCCGCCAACACCCTGATCAGGGGCGGGGCTGGCTGGCCAAGTGCCTGCAGCCCCTCTTCCCACCAGCCCGGCCCACTGGGGCCCCATTGGGGCGGGCTGGCTGGACCCCCTGGACCCCACCTGTACACAAATTCGTGCACCAGGCCTCTAGTAGGACTGATATTTGGGGAGAAGAACCCTTCTCACTGTGCCTTGGGCTCAAGGTTATAATCAGGTTTCAGCTGTCCTGTGTTTGGGGGCATATTTGAACTATCTCAGAGACAGAACATTGCCGTGGCCATTGTACAGTCCATGACAACAGAGGAGCTGAAAATTAAGCTAATTTCAAAGGGTTAGCTTTCTCTGTTATAAAAGCCAGATAACAGGCTCTTCTGTTACTGAGAAAAGCTAGGAGACTAGCTCCTCGGTTTGAAAATCTTATGAAGGCATTTAAACTCATAAGTCAGAGGGAAAACTATTCAACCCTTTAGTGAGGAGTTTAGGACAACCCACTTCCCCTGTAGGACACTCACAATATCACTTACTATGTAACTGGTCTCTCTTTGGCAAAAACACTGTCCACCAAGGAGTTTAATGGCCAAAAAGGTTGGGTCAGGTCATCTTTGTGTAGTTTATCAGTTTGACATTCCTTTGTTTTACTTCTTTCTTATTGTCAACACACCACCCTGTTTTATTATGCCATAGAAACCCCAGAGAACCAGAATGGCTGACCTGTAGATACCACAGCTGATAGGCATTTAGTGCTATCAATGCCTAATGGAGATAAATTTGCAGATGAACAACTAAATATATCTATTTTCCAGGAGTGTTTTCTATTACCCCAAAATAAAACAAAAAATCCAAACAAAACCAAATGTTCTTACCTTCTATTTCCCAAGTGTTTTAAGGGGCAGGTAGTATGGATTTCTTGGCATTTTAACTTTGGAATTCCTCAGTACCATAGAGTGGATGTTTGTTTAGCATCCTGTTTACTAGAATACATTAATCTTTTATTTTAACCTAACATTTGTTGTTCTTGATGTTTACTATGGAATTGGATATTTAAGAAGTTAACAAATTTGTCCCATTTCTGTTTTTACTATAGATTTAGAATGGTGTCTTTCATTGGCTTAGAGAGGTGCTCTTAGAAATAGATGTAAATAGGGTTTTTACAAAATGTTGTGTCTTACAATAGACTAGAAAAATGTTGGTCTACTTTAGTGTTCATATAGAGCAGGTAATGATTTTGTATAAATATGATTTTGATACCCTGGATATGAGTTGGGGCAAAGAATCTGCATACCTAACAAGTTCCCAGGTGATGCAGGCCTACAGTTCCATGAACCACACTGAGTGGGGAGGGTCCAAAGGAGTGTACTACTTAAAGTATTCCAATTCTTTTATAACTTAACAACCTTTTGTAAATCAAATAACCCCCTAATTTATCTCTTTAAAAAATGTATATTTAGTGCATAATGGAACACACTCTAGATACAAGAATTACAAGGATATTCAAAGAAAAGAAAGGTTATACAGTCAATAGAAGGGCAGAGAAAAAGTGTGGGTGACAAAGAACTCTGAACTTTTATTGGTTACTTAACTGAAAAATTTTGGGTGAAAACATAACATTCACGGATTTCTTAATGAAATACACAGCTCTCTTTAAAATATTTTTTTAATATATTTTACTAGAGGCCCGGTGCATGAGATTCACGCACAGGGGGTTGGGGGGCAGTCCCTCAGCCCAGCCTGCACCCTCTGCAATCTGGGACCCCTCGGGGGATGTCCAACTGCCTCTCACAATCCAGGACCACTGGCTCCTAACTGCTCGCCTGCCTGCCTGCCTAATCGCTCCTAACCACTTCTGCCTGCCTGTTTGATCGCCCCTAACTGCTCCCTTACCAGCCTAATCACCCCTAACTGCTCTCTTGTTGGCCTGATTGCCTCTAACTGCCTCTGCCTCGACCTGCACCTGGGACCCAGGATTCCCTCCTCTGGCCGGCCACAGGCACCCAGAACCCGGGCCGGCTTCGCCCGGGCTGTCCACAGCCACCAGCGGCCGTGGGCAGGTGGCTTTGTCCAGGCTGCAGCCGCAGGTGCCCAGGTCCATGGGGTGGGCAGCTTGTACCTCTCCTGGGCTACAGGTGCTGGTGCAGCTGTTGGCGCCCGGGACCACGGGGTGGGCGGCTTGTCCCTCTCCTGGATCGCAGGTGCAGATGCAGCCGCTGGCATCTGGGACTGTTGGGACCATGGGACATGCAGATTGTCCCTCTCCCAGACTGCAGGTGCAGTTGCTGGCGCCTGGGACAGCGAGGTGGGCGGCTTGTCCCTCTCCTGGGCAGCCACCCCAGCCGCTGGCACCCAGGACCGCAGGGCATGTGGCTTGTTCCTCTCCCAGGCCGGGTCACAGGCACAGGCACAGGCACAGCCTCTGGCACCCAGGACCACAGGGTGTGTAACTTGTCCCTCTCCCAGGCCACAGGCGCAGGCGCTGGCACCCTGGACTGTGGGCCAGGTGGCTTGTCCCTCTACTGGGCCGTAGCCCCAGCCTCTGGCACCCAGGACCATGGGGCGGGGAGCTTGTCCTTCTCCCGGGCTGCAGCCTGGCTGGTCCCTATTCCTCTCTTGCGAGCTCATTTGTGCCTGTGTGGTCCCCATTCCTCTCTCCCCAGTGTTGAGTGTCTGAGCCGTTACAGCATGATGACCACTTGCATATTAGCTCTTTATTATATAGGATTGATTTTTTACAGAGAGGAAGGGAGAAGGAGAGGAATAGAGTTAGAAACATCGATGAGAGAGAAACATCGATTTGTGCCAGCAACCAAGGTACATGCCCTTGACCGGAATCTAACCTGGGACCCTTCAGTCCGCAGGCTGATGCTCTATTCACTGAGCCAAACCGGTCAGGGCTAAGATATTTTTTATGTCATAAGTAATTAAGTATTCCAATTGTACATAAAAGAGAATGAGAGTTTATTTAGATAGAATTTTATTTTCTTTCTTAAATAATTTAAAGTGCTATCTAATATTTCTGATTTGGTTTTATCATATCCAAACTATTATATTTCATCTTTAGTTTGTTAGGAAATGGTACTCTTTGCCACAGGGACTCAGTGTGGCATACAGTAACAGTAATACACTATCTTTCTCATGCGGAGATGAAGTGACCTGCCAGTTTCCTTTGAGCTGTGTTTCCTTTAGAGTTGATGAACTTTACATGGATCCACTCATATTCTTCTTCGCTTGGCCCCCTCAGTAATCATAGATATGTGTACAAATACTGTAACTATGGGAGAGTCACTAGGTCTGTGGCCTCTGCCATAGATGCATTAACCAGATAAGCTCACCACAGTTTTCATTAAAGTGATAGATTTGAAATGATTGTAAGACAGCTTACTTGGTCTTGCAGCCAACTTTCTGCTTAACAGCATTAATCTAAATTTCCTGATGGAATCAGGAGATGGGAAGCCCAAGCATAATGGTAGTAATGTGCTATCTGGTTTGCTTTCTTTCAGACTTTCGGCCAGTTTGCTATGAGGAACCCCAGCACTGGTGCTCAGTTGCCTACTATGAACTGAACAATCGAATTGGTGAGACGTTCCAGGCTTCCTCCCGAAGTGTACTTATAGATGGATTCACAGACCCTTCAAATAACAGGAACAGATTCTGTCTTGGACTTCTTTCTAATGTAAACAGAAACTCAACAATAGAAAATACCAGGAGACACATAGGAAAGGGTAAAAGAAATATGTAATTTCTTTTTCTGTTCTTCTGAGCTAAAATATGGAAACAGAAACAAGCCATTCATTGGCCATGTAACCTATTGGGATGGCACAGGGATGGGTTTCTCTCCCTATAAAATGGGCATGACATCTTTTGCGGGGTAGCATAGTGTGCATATTATGAAGACAAACAAGATGATAAATGTGAATACAGGATGAAATTATTAAATAAAAAGATTGTGGATTATTTTTGAGTTGCTCAAAGAGGCTAGATAACTTCTGAAGAAGAATAATTCTGGCTGGTTGATCATTTATATAAGGTAAAGTTACCTTTGGAAACTTAGAAGCTAGGGAGTTAAACATCCTGACTTATTTATCTTTGGAAATGACTGGGGCTCTCCTGTGTCCAGGCATTGTTACAGCAGCCCATGGCACAAGCCTCACTGGGGTCTGGCCAATGATGTTTTTGAAGCTTCCTTTATTGGCAGAGTCAATGGTTGAGTGGCAGGCCTGGTTGAGGATCTTTAAATCATTTTCTTTTATTTTAGAATAGTTGGTACTGCCTGAGTGATACCTGGCTGCCCACTATCATGTTAGACTGTTCTGGAATCACAGGTGTAAAGAAACTTGAGAGCCAATTGATCTTTTCTCTTCCCATCCAGCACTCAGACCAGTTAGGAAAGGAGCCACATGAGCATTTTCTTTCATTATTTAATTTGGTGATGCATTCTAATATTCTTCCTAACATACCTCCTGAGTGCCTCCTGTTGTAGTAAATGTACAAGTCATAGATTAAAAACATTCATTGAAGTTTATGAGATGCCATGTCCCGCGTGGCTTAGGGTTCGGGATCTGGAGAAGGGCCGCGGGCAAATGACGAGACGAGACAAGAAATAATAATTTGGAAATTTGGGGGGCCAGGCGGACAGTCCAACTCTAGGGGAAGGACTTCGCTGGTGCCCAGACCCTGCCAACCTTTTATTCAATTTTAGATGCACATATTGTCCTTGGTCAGGCAGGCAATTCCGGTAACAGACAGACTGTCTTAAAGGTCAGTAAATATTATTAAAGATTTACTTTGAGACTATTTGGTCAGGAAATTGCTTGAGCCACCATTGTCTCATCTAAACAATTGGTGCATAGCTTTGGCCCTTGCCAGAGCTCAAGGTTCACCAGCATTCTGGGCTCCTTGTTTACACTTTTCTGATAGTGAAGACAATGGGTAGCATCCAACATTGCCCCCTTTTCACTTCCTTAATAAATCTTGAAAAGTGAATGCCACCTGAAGGGTTTGAGTCCTTTTAAACCTCTTCATTCTGCATCTGCGGACTAGAAATAAACATATAAGAACAAGAATGAGACAAGCGGGAACTGATCCTGCGCGCTGGGAGCAAGCGCGCGCTCGCAGCACCAGGAACTGATCCTGCGCGCGCTGCGAGCTTCCGAGCCCTGGGCTGGGAGCAAACGCGCGAACGGGAATTTGTCCACGTAGCGCAGGCCCAGGGACCCCGTTTCTCGGGGCAGGAGGCAGCACCAAGCACCAGTGACTTGACTGTGTTTCTTATCACCTGCGCCTGAGATCCTGATTCCCTGTGCATTCATACTAAGAGCCAGTGAATCCAATTCCTGGTGCAAGGGCACACAGGGACCCTGATTCTCAAGGCGAAGTCGCGCAAAGCAACAGAGACTCTGATACTGGACTCTTGGGGAACTCTGACTCCTGGCGCATGCTAGGGGGCTCTGGTTTTCAACACGCTCCAGGGGGGTCTCTATTTCAGCACGGTGCAGGCAGGGTCCCTAATTCTAAGGGCACATACGAGGCCACATTGAGCGCTGGCAACACTGACTCAGAGCGAGCCTGGTTCCCACCAACCAACAACAACCACACATCTTAGTGTCAGAGCTCTTCAGTGACACTAAGGTGGTGGGAGGCTCCCCAGAGCTCTTTGACACTAGGGTGGCGGGAGGCTCCCACTGCACACGGCCCAGGCCCACGCAACCCGACCTTTGAACCATCTGGAGATAAGAAGCATGAAGAAACGACACAACACCCAGAGGAAAGACAATGAGGAATCACCAAGAAAGGAAATTAATGAAGTTGAAGCGTGCAACATGACAGAAAAAGAATTCAGAATAATGGTTGTACAATTCATTCACCGGATGGATGAGAAAATCAACAACCTATGCAAGAATCAGGAAGAAATGAAAAGTGATATAGCTACAATCAAAAACACCATGGAAAGTTTCAACAGCAGGCTGAAAGAAGCAGAGGACCGAATTAGTGAGTTAGAAGATAAGGCAGAGAAACAAGCTCAATCTGAACAGCAACTGGAGAAAAAAATTAAAAAACAGGAGGAGAGCCTAAGGGAGCTTCGGGACAACATGAAACGAAGTAACATACGCATAATAGGGCTGCAAGAGGGACAAGAAGAGCAGCAAGGATTAGAAAATCTATTTGAAGAAATAATGACAGAAAACTTCCCAGATATGGGGAAGAAAAAAGTTACACAAGTACAGAGAGTCCCAGGCAAGATGAACCCCAAAAGACCCACACCAAGACACGTCATAATAACGATGGCAAATGTACAAGACAAAGAGAGAATCTTAAAGGCTGCAAGAGAGAAACAGAGAGTTACCTACAAAGGATCCCCCATCAGATTATCAAACGATTTCTCAACAGAAACACATCAGGCCAGGAAAGAATGGACAGAAATTTACAAAGTGATGCAAAGCAAAGGACTGAATCCAAGAATACTCTATCCAGCAAGGCTATCATTCAAAATTGAAGGGGAAATAAGAAGCTTCACAGACAAAAAAAGGCTAAGGGAGTTCATCACCACCAAGCCAGCAATGCAAGAAATGCTAAAGGGACTGGTGTAAAAAGAAGAAATAAAAAGCCCAGAAAGAAAACAGCCACACAAAAAAAGAAATGGCTACAAACAAGTACCTTTCAATAATAACTTTAAACGTAAATGGACTAAATGGTCCAATCAAAAGACATCGAGTGGCTGAATGGATAAAAAAACATGACCCATACATTTGCTGTCTACAAGAGACCCACCTCATTAAAAGGGACTCACACAGACTGAAAGTGAAGGGATGGAAAAATATCTTTCAGGCAAATGGAAATGAAAAAAAAGCTGGGGTAGCAATACTTATATCCGACAAAATAGACCTCAAAGTGAAGGCCATAACAAGAGATAAGGAAGGCCACTTCATAATACTAAAGGGATCAATACAACAAGAGGATATAACCCTGATAAACATATATGCACCCAATGCAGGAGCACCCACATACATAAGAAAACTCCTGGAAGACATCAGGGGAGAGATCGACAACAATACAATCATAGTAGGGGACTTTAATACACCACTGACATCACTGGATAAATCTGCTAGACAAAAAATCAGCAAAGAAACAGCAATCCTAAATGACTCACTAGATCAGATGGACTTAATTGACATCTTCAGAACACTTCACCCCAAAGCAACAAAATATACGTTCTTCTCAAGTGCTCATGGGACATCTTCAAAAATAGACCACATATTGGGTCACAAACAAAGTCTCCCCAAATTCAAGAAGATTGAAATCATACCAAGCATCTTCTCAGACCACAAGGGCATAATATTAGAAATAAACTACAATAAAAACAACCCAAAATACTCAAACACTTGGAAGCTGAATAGCATGTTATTAAATATTGATTGGGTTACCAATGAGATCAAAGAAGAAATTAAAAACATCCTGGAAACTAATGACAATGAAAACACAACAATCCAAAACCTTTGGGACACAATGAAAGCAGTCCTGAGAGGGAAGTTTATAGCTCTACAGGCCTACCTCAACAAACAAGAAAAAATGGTAGTAAATCATCTAAATCTACAGCTCAAAGAATTAGAAAGAGAGCAACAAGAAAAGCCCAGAGTGAGCAGAAGGAAGGAGATAATAAAGATTAGAGCAGAAATAAATGACATAGAGACCAAAAAAACAATACAGAAAATCAATGAAACCAAGAGCTGGTTCTTTGAAAGGATAAACAAGATCGACAAACCTCTAGCCAGGCTCACCAAAAAGCAAAGAGAGAGGACCCAAATAAACCAAATCAGAAATGATAGAGGCGAAATAACAACAGACCCCACAGAAATACAAATGATTGTTAAAAAATACTATGAACAACTCTACTCCAACAAACTAGACAACCTGGAGGAAATGGACATATTTCTAGAAAAATACAACATTCCAAAACTTAATCAGGAAGAATCTAAAAATCTCAACAGGCCAATAACTATGGAAGAAATTGAAGCAGTCATCAGAAAGCTTCCAGCAAACAAAAGCCCAGGACCAGACGGCTTCACAGGGGAGTTTTACCAAACATTCAAGGAAGAACTAAAACCTATCCTCCTCAGACTACTACAAAAAATCCAAGAGGAAGGAACACTTCCAAGCTCATTCTATGAAGCCAGCATCACCCTAATACCAAAACCAGGTAAAGACAACACAATGAAAGAGAATTACAGGCCAATATCCCTCATGAACATAGATGCCAAAATCCTCAACAAAATCTTAGCAAATCGGATCCAGCAGTACATCAGAAAGATCATACACCATGACCAAGTAGGATTTATCCCAGGGATGCAAGGATGGTACAATATCCGCAAATCAATAAACGTGATACATCACATAAACAAATTGAAGGAAAAAAACCACATAGTCATATCAATTGATGCAGAAAAAGCATTTGACAAAATTCAACACCCATTTTTGATAAAAACTCTCAGCAAGGTGGGAATAGAAGGATCATACCTTCAACAGGGCAGGGCTAGCAGTTATGGCTGCTCTCAGTCCTGCCCTCAGAGGCTTTGCTTCT